ACCAGATCCTGTTGGGCCACAACACACACACACACACACACACACACACACACACACACACACACACACACACTGTAAGACTAAGAATGCTAAATTTGAGGATGAAAGAAAGAGAACCATACACATAATTATACTACAACAGAGATAAAAAATAAATTTGGTATAGTTATCTGTTTATAGAAAGTTTACATTAGTAAATGATTACTGTCTCACATAGAACACTTAACAACTTACAATTGTATAATTTCAAATACATAATGTAAAAAATTAAAATAAATATATTAAAAACAGTATTATCAAGGGCTATAGTATCAAAACAAATATAGCCACCAGAAGATTACATACAATTTTTAATGTTACATGACATGATGCAACTAGTAAAGAATCTATGTGATGGAAACACAAGTATTAGTTATGTTTGAATCTTTATGCAATTCATTTTTAAAGAAATAATAAACATGTATTATTTTTATTTTCATGTTTGCATTCCTTATAGCTAGAAGTCCAATTTTCACACATCTTGTTACCAGCTTAAAGGGACTCTGGACATTGAGAGCTTATGGAAGGCAACCATATTTTGAAACATTATTCCATAAAGCTCTAAATTTACATACAGCGAATTGGTTCCTGTATTTATCTACCTTACGTTGGTTTCAGATGAGAATAGAAATGATTTTTGTAATCTTCTTCATCGTTGTGACCTTTGTGTCTATTTTTACTACAGGTATATATATATCTTTGCTTTTATATTAAATAAAGAAAAAGAGTAAGACATGTTACATGTAGAAAAATATATGCAGATTTAAGTAATTAATGGACACTATATACTGATAGTTTAATCAGTAACAAATTTAATCAAAAGTGACAAATGAATGTATTTACCGGTATTTATTTTATTTTTTTATATAGAATAGTTACGGCTGCCTATATTGCATACATAAACAGTGCACAAAAACCATGAAATATTTATCAAGGGAAGACTAAAACAAAATTAAAATAATCACAATATAGGTAATCTTTGACTCACAAGCACAAGAGCCCCAAATTTCTGTTGTTAAGTGAGACATTTGTTCAGTGAGTTTTGCCCCACTTTATGGCCTTTCTTGACTCAGTTGTTAAGTGAATCATTGCAGTTGAGAAGTTAGCAACTTGATTGTTAAGTGAATGTAGCTTCCCCATTGATTTTGCTTGTTAGAAGATTGCAAAAGGTGATCACATGACCCCGGGACACAGCAACTGTGATATGAACCCGTTGCCCAGCATCTGAATTTTGATCATATGATCATGGGGATGCTACAAAGGTCATAGCTGTGAAAAATGGTCATGTCACTTTTTTCAAGGCCATTGTAACTTTGAATGGTCACTAAACAAACTGTTATAAGTTTCAGGATTACTTATATAATAACTGAGGCAGCATATAACAAACCCATGATGCAAGCCAGAATTCTTAATTGACTCATCTGACATCTCAGTACAGCACTAGGGTTACGTCTTCATGGACTTCCAAAAGGCCAAAAATATCAGAATCTGCCATATTTTGGGGTATGGAAACTGTTCCACGAGACAGCAGCTGTTACAAATGAGACAACATTTTCTGACCATGTGTATCTGAAACTGTTACTGCTAATTTCCCATTGCAAGTGATTGCCCTAAATTTAAGGGCTGCTAATGAGCTGATATCACTTCTCTTTCCCTCTGTGCAGTTTTACCCATGTATGAAGGTGTGGATGAGTTTTATATGTGTGTATAATTGCAAGCTTGTACATATGCACATTTTGTTTTATGCTGGGATTTTATACTTGTTTTTTACTTATAGGTAGCGGGGAAGGAAAAGTCGGCATTATTCTTACATTAGCCATGAACATTATGGGAACATTGCAATGGGCTGTTAACACAAGCATCGATGTAGACAGTTTGGTAAGAAACATTTCTTTGAAAGTAAATATTTTAAGAAAAGATATAATAATAATTACCTAAAAGAAAAAAGAAAATAAATGTTTTATATTAATTTAGCAAGCTTATAAAATAACTTACATTGTAGAATATGCAATTGTTAATTTTATAATTGAAGATGCATGTATTGATATATTGATTTGTAAACCACACATTTTCTTTAAATTTGCTTTTTCATCATTGCATGTATTATTTTTTAGCACATCCTAAGTCTTCTGTACCTTTTATTTTTACAGACATCAGTGTGCAAAATTGCATAGTTGCAGTTAAGAGACTGCTGGAAATGATTAATTTTCAAGTCAGGGAACTGTTTCAATTTGGAAAGTTTCATATTTACTTATTTAATATACCTCTGTAAGCATGTAATGGATTCCTAGCAGTTAATACACAAAATATAAAAGCATTGTTGTTTTTAACTGTGGTCAGCTGCTTAGAGTCACTTGGGCAGCCATACAACTTGAATAAATAAATAACAAAACAATAAAACACAGCAATTAATTAAAACTCAGAATGTAACAATAATTTATCTATCAAACCAATATTTAAAGTACTACGAGGCTGGTAAAGTCAGGAAATAAAAATCACATGCATTTCTGGAATGATCTTCTTCCTTATTAAGGGGTAGAATAACCAAATCTTGAAGACCTGTCTACAGAGGAGTACAGAAATGGGCTTGAAGAGGGAATTCAAGGATGGTTACATGAATACCAGCTTAGTCCTTAAAGGAAAGAGGGAGCATGAAAGATGTTCAGGATTGCCTTGCTTTGTAAGAGGGCAAGAGAAAAATTATATCAGGTTTTCAAGGTTCCACAGTGACATTATTCCTTTTGGACTCGCTTCCTTAACTGGCCGACCTTAAAGGGTTGATGCTTTCTAAAGCAATTCTCTAATCAGACTTAGTCTTAGTTTTTTTTCTCACACATATCATCTGCCTTGAACTAAGACATATTTTCTGTAACAGAGCTCCCTCCTTTGGATTCGTCCGATTTGCTTGACCTTCCATCACAAAGAAAATCTTCCTAGCTTCTCCCAAAGCCTACCTGAACGATTCTGGCCTTACCACTTATGACAGTGGTCTCCAAACTTGGCAACTTTAAGACCTGTGGACTTCAACTCCCAGAGTTCCTCAGCCANCTTATGAATCTTGACTCTGATTAGCCGCCATGTTTAGAGAAATCAGCCAATTATAGTATAATCATATACTGTATCCTACCCTACTCTACTGTATCAGAGATGGGTTTCTGTTGGTTCGCGCCAGATCAGGCGAACAGGTAGTGGCGGTGACAGGGGGCGCCACCTACCCACCGGATGCTTCTGCGCATGAAGTATTGCACGAGTGTGCGCGCACAAGCGAACTGGTAGTAAAATAAATTGAAATCCACCACTGTATTGTACAGTATGCTATGGTATGCTATGGTATGCTATACTATTATGTCCTATATATTTCTAGATAGTATATAAGTATGATATAGCTACAAAATGAAAACTATAGAGGACTGAAACATCTTCATTTATTTTGAGAATAGAAAATAGAAAACCACCAGTGAATTCTGTGGTACTTAATAGATAAGTTTCATAAAGTTTATCTATAGTGGTTATTCAAGGAAACAAATCCCTGGTTGTACTTCTTAGAAAATTATCACTGTTTGGGAAAAGGAAAACTATTAACAAATTCAAGTATCTGATTTGTTAATTCAGAGAAAATTAAAAGTTATTTCTTATTTCTAGCTTGTGACATTATTTTTAACAATATTTTTGTTTCAATTTTTTTTCTGCTTCCACAGAAAGTGTTCATATTCTCTGGATCTTTTAGAAAAAACTTGGATCCTTATGGACAATGGAGTGATGAAGAACTATGGAATGTTGCTGAAGAGGTAGGAAATGTCCACCTTTGTTCTTTAACTCTTAAGCAAGATCTTTATAAGGTACACATGAATGAGTATCCATTTTAGAAACACGGATCACAATTTTCACATAAATAAGCAAACATATAAATAGGAGAAGATACTCGCCCCAAGAACTTTTTCATCTATCTGACAGTTTATAAAATAGATTTCTCCTTGTTTCTTACAAAATGCACTTCCTTGATAAAAGAACTACACATATAATTAGGAAAATCACTAAATCATTTTATTTGCTTGCTCAAAAGTTAACAACATTAGAATCTCCATTGCCTTGGTGGGTTTATTTACTCTTGCTTGTTTTACTTTTGCATTGTCTTTATATCCTACATTTGTTTGTTTATTGGGTTTGAACTTGAAGCTAGATTTGGAAATGTGGCAAAGAGCTGGGTCAATGTACAATGCTCTGATTGTGAAGATACATTCAGGAATGAGTAAAATCAAAGCAGGATAGAAAGTCGAAACTAGAATTCTGAATAAACTATCATCATAAGGTATGCTCCTACACAATAAAATCTGGAAATCCTGTTCAGTGGAAGCTTTTAAAAATTTAACAGATTTAAAAAAATGTTTAAGCACTTCTAGATATCATATTATATTTTGGTAACTTACTGCTTCCAGTACCTTCCATGACTAGTATAAACTTAGAAATAAAACATTATTCAAAATGACATTTTTTTTGAATTTTTCTAATGTATTTTCTAATGTTTATTTTATAATATGTTTTATATCATTTTCCAGCTGAATTCATCTGGAGTTGTAGATTTGAATTAGTGGTGGGTTTCAAATCCTGTTCCAACTGGTACGGTTGGAACGGGGCTGGCGGTGTTCTCATGGATGCGTGCAGCATGCGCGCACATGCATGCAGTGCACACATGCATCTTAGCTCCTCCACCATGCTCCAAGATGCTCCAGCTGCTCTGTGGAGCATCACGCAGGCGCTGTATGTGCCATTACGTGCACAGCAGCACAGAAGCTTTAAAACAGAGGTAAGGAGCTCGGGCAGACGGCTGGGCCCTCCGGAGCACCGTCCTGGAATGGTATCCAGTGCTCCGGGCTGGCTCCAGTACACCCGTACCAGGGCATACCGCCTGCAACCCACCACTGATTTGAATATACTGTATATAATAAGCTATGAAAGGTTATATAAAAGACAGCTAACATGCTAATGTTTTGAAAACTTTTAAGTCTTTGGAAATTAAGAAGACAGACAAAAAATTATGCACAGCTTAATTAAGGCATCTCTTTATATAAGCATCTCTTTACCACTTAATGTGTCAGGATGATGGCAGTTCACAAATTAGCTCACAGGTCGATGTAGTTAGGTGATCCTTGAAATATAAAAGATTTAAACATTTTTGAAAAAACATCAGCATTTGGGTGGAAATAGAGTGGAAGTCATGATGTACAGTAACCTTAATTGGAATTTGTGAACTGATTATAGTTTTCTAATCATCTTCAAAACAGTGGGTGCAGTGGTGTTGGAAGAGTCCCCAGGCCTAAAACTATATTTGCCACGAAACAGATTATTCATTTGAAAATAAATTTCCTTCTATGATGAGTTCTGCCCATCACTAGCTGGCAGGAAAACCATCTGCCAATTATTGTTCTGAGCAAGAACAGAGCAGTTCTGTCTGTAGAATTTTACTTACCATCTTTAAGCCTCAGATTCCTTTCATCTTATTACTCATTTTACCATAAATCAAGCTGATAACATGAATCAAACGGCGTTTTATTTAAAATTTACCTTCCCTCCCATTCCAAATGGGAGGGGTGTTCCCATTTGTCCATTGTTTTCTTATTTCAGTCTTGTGCTAAATAAATAAGGTCCAAATAGTTACAAGCACTTGCAGTATATTTGCTATCTGCCAGTTCAGATGGATCACCAAATAGAACTCATCTATGTTAATCTCTTTAGAGAGACAATAACAGAATGGCCACAGATGGGAGTGTGCATGTATGTGTGGAGTGTTACTGCATCAATTTGAAATGGTCAGTAAACACTAGTATCATTCATTGACCTGAAACTATTTCATTTCCTGTGTAATAGGTGGTAAACCACAATAGATTTTGTATTATTAGGCACTGTAATGGCGACGTAGTTAGAAACCAGTATTGCAGGCTAACTTTGCCCATAGCCAGGAGATCAATCCTGACCATCTCAAAGTTGACTCAACCTTCCATTCTTCCAATGTCAGTAAAATGACCCAGATTGTTTGGAAGCACTATGCTGACATTATAAACTGCTCAGAGAGTGATGTAAAGCCCTATAAGTCTAAGTGCTATTGCTAATACTAGCAATAGTATTATTGCTATTAATATTGTTATTATTTCAGAAGAACTAAGGACAATTTAAGTGTGTCTCAGCCAGTGTTTGGAGATGAAACACAAGCATCTTAAGGAAAAAACCTACAATTGTTGGGGCATATTTGTAGGATAATGTGGTAGTTAAAATATTGAAATTGGATCAGATACTGATTCAGTTCTTATTTACTTAGTTTACTAGATGACCTTGAAGTAGTTATTCTGTTTCAACTCTTTCTATCTTACAGGTTTGTGGTAAGGATGAAATTTAGAGATGCCTTTCATGTGTCTTAGAAGGATTAGAGTTAGGAGGACCTTGACTGGGCTTGGAAACTAAGGTGAATCAGACTTAATTAGTCATTCAGGGTATGCCAGGGCTATCGACTTGGAATTAAAGAGAAAAAACGCCTAAGAAGGAAATGGCAAAACATTTCTGCATTGTTGCCAAGAAAACTACAAGGACATAATTTAAAAAAATAACATGTAATATGACTGAAAGGAAACTTTACTCATCTTACCAGATATATGCATTTTTGAATTATCAAAGAGGAAAAGTGACATGTAAATGCAAAAAACAGAATATATCAATCCCAATCTATTCAGCAGTCTCACAAGTAGCATAGTTCGGACCACTGAATACTGAGATTCAGAAGAACAAAATATTATGGTACTTTTTAAAATTACATATAGTTTTTATTATAACACTCTAAGTCCTTAAGGTAAAGATTAAGGTTTTCCCTGTCCAATTGTGTCTAACTC